TATAATACTGTACTCCTTCCCCCTGGTTATTGTGGGGATCAAATATAATAATGTGTGTGAAAGTCTTTTCTCAATGTCAAGGTGTTATTCCACCGTAAGGGATCATTGAGGTCATCATGCTTATTGAGATGTGCCCAGAACAGCTATGCCTTACACTATAGAGTGTCAGCAGCAGGAGTTCCATTATAAGGGAGGAAAAAAGGAACCAGTTTTCCCAGTGGAGAAGAGTGACCCCAGACAAAGCAGAGAGACCAATAACATAGCCCCAACAAGAGCAATGACAACTTGGATGACTTCTTATCAAGGCCCAGTCCGGAGTAACCAATAACAAAAATGTTCCCCATTCTCATTCGGTGAAGTTCTCAGAGCCAAGGATAATCGCTCCACCCTCTCCTAAGCCTGGGGTCAAAGGCTATTTTTTATTTGATGCCGTGTGGTTGAAGTTAAGAGCCATTCAGAGCTGGTTTTAGATCTTTGTACAAAAAAGTAAGAGTTCAAAGGAAGTCTCCTCTCTTACTTTTCTCAGAAAGAAATTCTACTTGGAGTAAGGCTCTGGAAGGCTGTCAGGAATCAGAGAGGCCAGGGAAGAGATGTGCAGAGCATTCCTGGGCGGGGTCACCTGTTGTTTCTGCCTTCCCAGAGTCCTTTCTCTCTCTTTTCGGTAATAGAATCCTCTTTTCATTTGGGAAATTATCCCTTCCCCATTCTCATTCCAAGTGGGATTGATCCATTCCCTAATTTCTGGGCTGACTCAAACCCGACCTATCAGAATACTACATCCTCATGGCCATAATAATTAATTCAGCAAGAGGCATGTGATCCAAGCCAGGCCAATGAGTGTCAGCCCTGAGACGTTTGTAGGACAATTAAGAAGGAGAAGTTCTCTTTCCTGGGGAGTTGCCAAGCTGGAAGATAGAAACCCAGTTTTTGGTGGTCACCTTTGCTGTCACCTAAGAATGACACCAATGTTGAAGGAAGCTGAGCCGAGAGACAGAGAATGATTCCAGTTGACATGGTTTAAGCACTGG